ATACTGCGGATTTGTAAGCTAGGGGTATATAAGGACAGAGCTCGAAGGACTCGTTTCGGACACGATACAGAAGAACACGACCATATTGTACACTACGTAGAGTAGCTAGTGCAATAGACGCCCTCACAAGGGCATTAAGTCGAAGCTGACCGTCGGAAACCCAACACTTGGTGTGTGTTCTGCGCAGATAACATCATAAAATCGCTCTGATCGGACAACTAAACAGTTGGAGTACGCATACTCCCCGCAACTTTTTACGGCTACCTCATACGAAAAGAAGTATCCTCGCGCGGACGTTCTATTCAGCAGTCTCGAAGACGTCGACAAAATTGCTCCACCTGAAGGCTGGAAGAACATCCTCAATTATGAACCTCACCCCGAAGGAGCACTCGACGTCGATATGTGGGCGTATGATCCTCTAGCCATTGACGCTGTCTGCCCGAAAAATACGGAATACTGGCAACATCCATTGTACGGCATCTCCCCTGATTGGCTTAGGAGAAGGACTAACCATCAGTAGCCTTGGCCGCTGGACAGGAAGCGATCTCGGCCTTCCTGGTCCCTCATCCATGCAGTCTATCCACCTAGGTTTGGCGGAGACATCTGGCAGTTCCGGCACGCTTGTCGGATATGGTTGGAGCAGCCTCGGCCGAACGACAATCTTTGGGCGCTTTGATGATTTGTTAGCCAGCGGCCGTACACGACTCAAGCTCGACTTCGACTTCGGACAGGATTTGGCGCAGACGGGAAAACTTGCGGAATGTATCTTGCCTCGCTCATCTCTGCTTGAGGGTTTCAAGATGTCGTTCCGAGGGGAGTATGAACACGGCGACGACGAGCACATCACGGGCACGTGGGTGATGTGGGCTTCGGACTGGAAGCCGGAGAAAGAGCCTCAGGTTGTCTTTCGCCGCGTACCAGACTGGATGTTTGCCTATCGCTCAATCTATGCCGAGCTCCTGGCGACCTCATCTGCGTCCGGGCGATGGAAGGCTGCGATCCAAACTGTTCTGCGATACGTTCGCCGCCGCGGCATCTCCTGGGCGCATCTCAAAGCACGCAGGGACGACCGTAGAATGATACTGACATATTTCTACCGCCTCGCCAATAGCGTCCCACTATCCGAAGATGAGCTCGCTGCACTGCGCAATCGCATGGTCATCCTCTCACCTGAGGATGGCTGGTCTTATCTTCAGCGCCTGAAGTGGGCTCATCTTTGGACGCGAGTTCATGCGTGAGTGGTCATACGCCGTTCGAATGCGAGGCGCAAGATTTGCTGATTCGACGGGTTAGTTATACGTGCAACCATTGCGAGCAGGAGATCGTTGGTGGCCGTCTTTACTGCGTCGATTGTCAGATCCCAGACAATGTTCGCTCGAACTCTTTCGACCTGTGCGACAAACACGAGTGTATCACTGGCTCTATCGGGATGTGGGCAAACGGCGGAGTAGTTCAAGGTCCCCATGAGAGCTCACATAGACTTGTGCTCTTCCGCCACACAGTGACACGCATGTACTACGCCAACACGATCGACAGTGCTCAAGGCTGGGCGATCAACTTTGTGAAGCGGGTCATGCCTACTATTCAACGTCAGAACTCAGGAGAGCCTGCGGAGCCTGCCTCAACGACGTCGGCGGCGAGTTACACGTGCTCTGTATGCCGAGGACCGCTCTATGACCCGTTTTGGCTCTGCCTGTCGTTAAACTGCGATGGTACGTTTGTCCATGTTTCTTTCGAAAGCTCGCCACTGATATCAGCAATGCCATAGCTTCACGAGTGTTTACCTGCGATGCTTGTGTCCACGGCGCCCCTTGCACCAATCCTCGTCGTGATGTCCAGTACAAGGTTTCACATGATAGCGATATTCTCGCAGCGAGCGAAGTCACAGTCGACACGGTACATCCCGCCGATCACCATCTCCTTCGTTGCGCGTCCGACATGAAACTAGACGGTCCTCCGGAGCGCCCTGAATCTCCGGAAAGCGATAACATCGTCGTTTCGCAGCATCTAGACTCACTCCGAGAGCAGCACTCGCAACTGGCCAAGGAGCACAACGATCTCATGGGAAAGCACACCGAGCTCATGAGCAAGCATACCCAGCTCATGGATGCCTACGAGCGCTTATCCCATCATATACTCGGCTCCGATGCAAAGGCGCCAATCACCGAGTCAAAAGCGGGAGCCGAGCATAGCGCATCCGTTGAAGGTATGTCAACCCCGACGACGTTCCAAGAGCGACGACCTGATAAGTCCTACAGCCCCAGGTGGCGTCAATGGTGCAGACATTGGCAGCGACTCAGATCCCGCTGAGGCCGAACCTGCCTCTTCTAGTAGTGTTTGAGCATTCTTTCCTTAGCGCACGAAATCTTACTCCTATACTATACTCCTATGCTATACAGTCACGGATCATCATATGGTATCATACACGTTTGGGACGATGCTTCATCTCTATAACTATTTGCACGCTCAACATCGACTAGCTCTCCTAGACATGGTGGCACGCTTCGAGCCTTCGATACGTCCTCGCATCGCGCGAGAGGTCCTAGTCTCCATATATCGTGTCATTCCATTGAAAAAATCTTGCCATGTTGCTATGCTGGGCCTCCCGGCACCACAAGTGTGTCTATGGGTCCGTGTAGAGCGCGAAATCGTCGTTACCGGCAGCGGTTTTCGCAACTAGAGAGGACAAAAGGCTGGAAGCGATCTGTGCAGTCATTGAACGCGTGAGACCAGTGTGATATAGTCATCCGCGAGTGGTTGAGAGGAGTTGCTCAGCATGAATAGGCGACATGTGGTATCGTTTTCGGGGGAATTAAAGTGAGGGGTAGCGGCACGCGTCAACCTGAACATCAGGCGTGCTCCAACGTGCTCCCTACCATCACTATCCACTGGACAGATTCTTTGGCATGCACCCCTTCAGACACTCCGGAGTCGCAATGAGCTTTATCAACGGAAGCTGGTGTGCCGACTTGCTCTCGTAGGAGTTTTGTACGCAATACCATTCGCAGCAAGACGACTACATCCTGCCTCCCTCCACGAGCCCAGCAACGTCGAGGATCAATGCACACCACTCATTCAATCTTGGTACACTGTTCATGGTTGTTTGACGCGTCACACTGGCACCTGGATTCAGGAAAGGAGGCGTAGCATTGGGAGCAATTCGTATAGTGCGTTCACTTGATATATCAGTCGACTTGAGTCTCATAGTGTCGTCAAGGACAAGATTTTGTATCCACGGGGCCCATTTCTTCTTGACTAGCCGGTGACCGGTGACGTTCCACATACAGCATATTCTGCAGTTCTCCCGTCGGCCGCAGCCGCCACCTACGGCATCATTGGCTCCTCCACGAACATGTGGTCATCTCGATCCAACCCGCGGCCCCTGTACTAGCCACTATCGAAAGACAACGAACCTGCCTAGTCTATCTGCGACACATCATGCACTGGGTAGCCGAGACCGAGCTTCCCCAATTATAAGTCGAGCCGTCTGTCTGGGAACCCCATGACCTATTGCCTGAGTTCGACGCCGTCTTACCAGCCCCGAACTCGACCCATCGGATACCCCAGAAACAGCACACTCGTGTGTAGCGCGTTCACCTGTCTTGCGCACGACCGTATATCTGATATTGGCCCGCAGATAAACGACGCACTCCCATGAAATCCTCGTAGGATGATCAGAATCCTCCCCGCCGCATGTGTGGGCGATAGCCTCGCCGTGAGAGATGCGTCTATTTGGTCCATCGCCATCATCACTACATCATTACGGGGCGCCAGGACTTCTTCAGACTAGTACGAGGTACAGGGAGTGGCAAAGTTGCGTTATATCGGACACGCGATCCTGATACCATGAAGCCAGACCATATCTCTAGACCGGCCAGTTGCGAATGGTCCATACATAGTGCAGCCCCCCACGAACCTGTCCGTGCACTCATTTAATGCTATATACACCAAATTCATTACATACCTTGTCTCATAATGGCACCGCATGTCACCTGCCGTATTTGTCGTCCTATATACGGTATTCTACCGCGCACGTTGGCTCCAAGCAGCAGCTCCCTCTGTAAGTATCGACGTCGATCTCGCCTCAAGCCGTTCTATCGCCGGTGTTTTCCCGTAAGGTCATCAGGCGAAAGTTCTCGTACGTTGAACTCGGTATGAGCCGGCCCTTCGCCATCACAGCAGAGGAGTTATACTCACAGACGCTTCTCTACCGAGGAACATCGCTACGCCCGGACCAAGAGAACACTAGCTCGTGTAGGTCCTTGACGTTTGCATCTCGAATTCGAAGATGCTTGCGCGAGCAGCTACGCGATGGGCGCTACAACTACTGAATGGTGTTTTGTCCCGATGGATCTTTCCGTGGGCCGGGCGCTCTTCTCACGTCAAAGCACTGGCGCCGCTACACAACACCTATTCCCATCGCAGCCCGGGGCTGCAATGTACGTGGGACAATGCATCTTTTCCTTCCTACTAACTGTTTCCCCTTTGCTAAAAACCTGGGAATGCAAGGAGGGAAGCCGTTCATCCGCCAGATGTCAAACCCAGCTCGAGAGTTGTACAACCTCGACCATACTTGTATATTCCATCCTGCGCGTCACATTCGATGAATCGGAGATCAGTACGTAGATTGTCAGGAGTGACTGGGCGGACATTTCCGTTGCACTCCAACTCTCGAATCACGGCATCATGCCTGTCCCGACGTACTAGCGTGCGTCGCAGCAGCGGTAACCCTTTTGAATAGAAAATCCTTGCCAGGTACGGCCAGGATAGGCCAGAAGAAGGGTAATGCTGAGAACGCGGCTATGATGGGGACTGTGACCGTGGTGGCGAGTGACCCCTGTATAACAGCATGGACCACAGCCGACGCAATGGTGCAAAGGCAAGCGGCAGATAACGACGTGATCCCTCATAGGTAACTTTAGTAAAGACGGGTGCTCAATGATGATGTATGCTTCACTTACAGTGCTTCATGATGAAACTGAAACCCGCCCTGGTGCCAAACTTCTTCAGCGCCTGTGACTCCACTGTCGTTGTCAGGTCGACTTCATCGGGCCGAGCTCGTGTTGAGCGCGATGCAAGCTCCGCCAAGTCGTCTGTGAGCAATAACGAATCTATCGTTGCGCTGATGCTGCACAGGAAGGCAATATACGTCATAATCATGACAGCGGCCTTTGCGTTCGGGTTGGCAGAGAGCTTGCTATCTCCGTTGTAGAACCCGATTAGCTGAGCCTCTACACCCGCGATGATGCTTGACTTATAAGTGGCCTAATCAGTAATTGATTCACTAATGACCAGAAGACTGTAGAACTTACGACTACTTCTCCACTTGCCAGTGTTGTTGTGTAACCGTTTGTAATACTTTTGACTACTGGCGGGAGTTTATCTGACGATCCTATTGTTAAACAAGATGGATAGTTAGATAGCGGAGAATCTCACTAACATTGAAGATCCCCTGGAAGCATCGTGGGTTTGTCGTTCGGCTGACGACACGAAGACTTCGGTGCGTTCGCGACCCTTGTCGAAGATTCGGCGTCATCATTCATGATGGGTAACAGATTTGGCCCTGGAAGATGAGGGTGAGCAACCTCGTTCGTAGCTGGTTACAGCTTTAAATACTGATACGCGCGAGGTTGGGTCCAGCACTCGAAGTCCTCCTCGCCAAGCAGACCTCATGAACTTCCCGACAGTGCGCCACTTGGTCCGTTGATATCGGTTGGTCCGAATGTGGATTATCCCCAAAGAAGCCACTCGCTGAATAGAGTGTACAACTCTCCTCCGGGTTCCAACCCCCGAGCCTGGGTGGCGATCTGACATCCACACTTCAATGGTCTTCGTATGCGCCGCAAATGCTTGATCGTGTGAACCGTAGGATCTGTCTGAGTAGGGGAGAGAGCAGTCGTGCGACGTCAATCACCGCCGGTAAAGTCGCTCGTAGTTTTGTACCTGCTTGAGCTCGATTAGATTGGTTGTTACAGATCCGGGAGACTCCAGACAAATGAGCACGCAGAGGACCTGAATGCCTCGGCCCGATATTGAGCCATATATTCCAGTCAGAGTAAGCAATTGAAGGTTTCCAACCAGAAGACTACGTACCGTATCCATCGCAATGAAACAGGCATCATCTGTAGCCTTCGCACTCGAAGCTGCCAATGAGCGCGCGCGCACTTCGACCGCGGTGAGTTTTGATGGATGCAGATCCATTGCCCAAGCTCATGGCGCGACAGATCGGCGAATGAGAGATGAGCGGCGAAGCGCTCATTTATCAGTTAGGAGCACTCTTGCTTGCGCTGTAGGGAGACAGAAACATAGCTCGGGCGGGGCTGATTATTGGGGAGAACCTCACTACCCGTGGACTCTGAAGCATGGGCATAGTAGGGTCGGTGATCGCCTGTGACCGTGCCATCCCAGCGCTAATATGCGGTCTTCACCACTTTCGGTGGTCTGCCGTAGTGCGTTAAACTCATAGGTCGCGTATTGGGTAGGAACAACTCTAATACCGCGACCAAGGGCAGTGATACAGTCGAGATGCCAGACGGACCCGGACGTCATCCGTGTGAGCTGGAGCAGACACGAGGGGCACGGACGATCTGGAAGTGCAAGTGCCGGAAGAAAGCGGGACCCGAACCAGTTCTTTCTGCGGGGGAGCTTCGCCTAGTGACGCGACGTAGACCAATGTGGTTCGAGTCAGGTTCAGTCTCGGACCGACGGAATGACACGGGGCGCAGGGTGTAGGTAGGGTTAGGGTTTGCTGACGCAACGTGGCGGAGCGGCCGCGTGCGCTCGTGTTGCGAACGTCCACGACGGTGCTATGCATGTCTATATTGACGATGTGGTCCGAGGTGCTTGCTCTTCCGCTACCTTTGGTCTTCGCGTCGTCGGCATCGCATAAAGTCCTTCAAGTGATGAGTCAATGCCGCGTACCGACGTTGACGCAGCGAGTGAAGACAGGTCCCAAACACGAGGCTCAATGATTCGAGGCGTTATACACTTTGATGAGCGTCTGTAGACCCGTGGCACTGGGTGGCCTCGCGATTATGGCTTCCTGCAGGAGGAGGAGTGCTTGCCTGGCGGTAACTTCGTGTCACTGAGCTTAAGACGATCGGCGCCCTGCGTCATGAAGAGATGCATTGCTCGCCTCTTGTACCTTCCGGCTCGTCCTGGACCGTCTGTCAGCTACTCGTACACAGAGTCTCCAAAAATGATTTGCGAGGAGCTTGTGTGAGCAGTTTATCAAGAACCTTGAACCTATATGTGCTGAACTACTCGATTACGTTGCAGCTACAGTCTGGGACTTGACAAAGCAAGGGATTCTATGGAGGTGAGCCTCAATGCGGTCAAGGCGAGTCTGTACGTGCGGGTGTCCTCTCAGAAGCGCTCACATTACTGTAGACATGGTATGCAGAGGCCCACTCGTCTAGCGAGGCTGGGGTTCTTCATCCAGGAACTATTATGGCAAACTTGCGCAACAAGTTGCGACACGGGCAAATATCCAATCTCAGGAGCCGTGGGAACAGCGGGAAGGCGTCTGGGGCAGGGATAGGTAGGAGGCAGCCCGACAATTCGAGCCACGCAGGACCCGCGTCGCAGACGAAGTGAGCTGTTTTTGGTCATCATTCAGCATTCTCTGACTATCTCGCCCAAGCTCCGATATCCCGATGACTACGAGGATGCCCGCAACGCCCTCACGCCCGCCTCGATACGTATACGTCGCAAGTGCGATTTCTAGGGCCAGAACGGCGTGAATACGCACACTCAGTGTCATGGTTCGAGTGAATGTCAATAACAAAATGTTCTGCGGGAAGTGGGCTGACAGGCTTGCTTGCAGTCGGAAAAAATGCCTCTGCGGAACGAGCCCACGAAGTCAGGGTACGGGGTACCGTCGACGAATTGGCGGCTATGGATGACAGAGGCAGGCTCCTCAGCATTTCATACTCCCTATCCTACCTCCAGTCATCTTGGTGCACGCATTGTCCGTATTTATATGAGCCACTCACGCCACGTTTGTAACGAGTGTTCGAGGATTCTGTAATGCTTGCCGCCGATTTCGGTCTTCACAATCAGTAAACATGTGGCTGGTGTTCATGCGTGATTACACTCGCCGCTCGGCGCGCACTCTCGACCAATGAAGCAGATGTGAGCGCATCCGGGTCATCGGAGTTACGCGATTCGAGACATTATATTTGTGGGTACCCAGCCCAAGAGCAACTATGTCACTCACTGAGAGAGAGTTTGGGCGTACATGGCGAGCCGAGCGAGTAAGAGGGGGGGATGTCATCAACGGGTCCAAGCAGCCGTGTAGCGGTAGATGAAAGAAGAGTGGGAGAGGAATGTGAGTCGACGAGGCGAGAGAGTGTATGCATGCAAGAGGACGGAAGACGTGGTCCGGTTTCATTCGGTGATCTATGCAGAACAACGACGACGGCGACGACGGAAGGGGAAGATTCTACTGGTGCACCTGGTGATAAGCCAGATGTTTCGGCGACGCGAACAGCGAGAGCGCCTTCTCCGCTCCCTGCTTGTACTTCTTCATTTTCTTGATCTTCAGCTCCTCGGGTCCGGCCTCCTCATCGGTTAGCTCGCCCTCTTCGGCTGCTGGACTCAGCGTGCCGCTTCCTGGCGTGCGCGCGTTCGCGCCGTCCTCCTTGAGACTTGAGTCTGGCGAGCCGTCCCTGCGCGGCTCGCACCGGCACGACTGGCGGTACTCGGCGTCCCGCTCGCACTATGTGCCACGCCCCTCCTGCTCCCGACGGTACTTGAACCAGGTATGCTGAGGCTCGTGCTAGTCTTGTTCGACAGCTTCGGCGTCGCAGGCCGGCTAAGGCTGCCCAGCTCGGTCGCTTTCCGCGCCCACATCGTCTAAGCACTCCCTCCTCCGCGCCTCCGGTGCCTTCGGCTCTTCCTCTCCCGGCTTTGGCTGGGTGCGACAGTGCTCTCGGGATCGGCGTCCGTGCCGGTTCCAGTACCAGCCCCACCGTCCTCGTCTCCGAGCCCGTCATCAATGGCGGGTGTATTCTGAGGGCCCTTGGGAGGGATGTAGCGTTGGAAGTAAATGTGAGGCCAGTTGCTTCGAGTAGTATATTAGGACTTGTGTATGACGGAGGGGAGGCAAGAACACGTACATCATCGAGGAGTATGGATGGCGTTTGATGCTCGGCATAGGGTTAGGTTATACGTAGAAGCTTGCTTTATTGCGACGTGAGTGACCGCCCACCAAGAAAGCACAAATAGCTACGACTCACCCAGCGCATCAAACTATTCGGAGGGACTGACGAAGGTGCTGGTCGAGCTTGTGCGCGCCCATGGAAGACCCACACGTGTGATTCCCTCGCGTCCTACCGGTGCGACTGCTCCAGGTGAAGGTCGTGAAGAGCTCCTTCGGGCTGGGTGTGGATGCTCATTCTCCGGGGAAGTCTTGCGTAGTAGGTGTGCTCGCAGGGCGAGCCGCAGGTAGCGCGGGCGTTGTTACTAGGCATAATTGAGAGCGGGAGGCGGTAGCAAGCAAGCAAGGTTGATCATAGTGTCCGAGAGTTAGTGATAGTAATAGCTTGTAGGCGCTAAGCTATAGTGGTGGTGGTACCGGTTCAGAGCGTAGATAGCGAAAATATGCCACTGTGAACCCTGCGCGGGCGATGTGAGGCGGCCGGGTCATCTTGGCGCGGATCACTTGGCCTTCGGGTCCGCAACTTAGACCTAACGGTCATGAGTACTTGTCGCTCATCTCGAATCTCTACTTGACCAGTGGCACATTTTATGGCGCGAAAGACCAAATGAGTCCCGGGCTCATGTCAATCTCAAGGTCGCACAAGGGTCACCCAATCTTGAGGGACGCAGGTACGGACACGCGGATGGTGAGGATATGCACCTAAACCGATATACTGCACGCTCTTATTTCGTCTTCCTTCCCGTCGACTAGTCTGCTGCCTGCCCCTATCCAACGTCTAAAGAAGACTTGGCCAAGTTTATCTCCTCGAGGATCGATCTGGAGAAGCCCGTCGCTAGATTTGAACCCGGCGTTCTCATCAAGTACGGACGCGATCGCGAGGAAGAAGTGCGCGTGTTGAAGTTCATCTACGAGAAGCTCTCGTTTCGCACGCCGCGCGTCCTCTATCACCCTCCTTACCGCGGCATACCGTCTCTCTCCCCATTTGTCTACGAGGCATCCGGGGTCTGGTACTTCCTCATGGACGAACTTCCGGGTGTATCTCTTGACGGCGTCATTGACGACATGACTCTGGAGCAACTCGATCACGTCGCCGACCAGCTATCGTGTCTTTTGACCGAGTTGCGCGGCTTTACCAGCACCAGCATCGGCTCAGTAACGGGCGGCCCGTTCAGGAACGTATTCTTCCCTTGGCCGTATACCCCGGAGTCGTCGTGGTCAAGTGTGGAGGAGTACATATCGTACTACCAAGACCTACTATCCGAGTATTGCGCTCCGGACTACGTGGACGACCTTCTCGCGTGTCTTCCCAGAGACGCATGCGTCCATCTTGTTCACGGCGATCTTCTACCCCGCAATATTCTGGTCAGCGGATCGACCATCACGGGCATCCTCGATTGGGAATACGCGGGCTACTATCCCGACTTTTGGGAGTACGCTCGGATGCAGCATCGGGGGTGGAAGTCGCCAGGATGGGACTATGTCATGGGGCGCCTTGTTTCAGGACCGTACCAGGAGCAGTTGGTCAATACTGTTGACAAGATTGTGTCGTTGTTGAAAGTCAATTGTTCGATTGATTAGCGACACGTGAGTCAAGCCATCCCACTCCTGCGCCGCATTCAACTGAGATTAATGTGCAGGATTTCTGGTAGTGGCGGCTGGCGTACTATAACGTGATACGATGGGTGATAGACTCGGAGGCCGGTCCGATCCTGGATACGCGCGGTGATGGCGGCTGGCCGCCACGCAGACTTTGAACACGGACCATGACGAGCGGGCCACCTCGGCGTTCCGTTGCTCCCACTCCATTCGCATCAAAGATAGACTGAAGCTCGACTCCGGAAGCCAATCTCGCGATTCGAGTCGCAGCCCAGTGTACTCGTCAAGTCCGGATGCGACTACGAAGGAAAAGTGCGCGCGCGCTGAGACCATCAAGACGGCGCTTCCATACCCCATGCCGCGGTTGTCATTGGCCATACCGTGCGGCATCGCCACCCGTTGCGCTCATCTGCGATGTGTCCAACTCCTGGTACATACCTAGGGATGACTTTCCGGCGCATCTCTTTCAAGCGTCATCTACGACGCGACGTCACAATCGCTCTCGCTCAAAGTTCAACGCCCAACTACTGTGCCATGCCCCCTCGCGGAACTGCGCACTCTTATTAGCACACATCCTGGCTCGCTGGCCAATGGCCATCCATGTGAGGACATTTCCCCTGCTCTTATCTAGCTTTATTCTGACTTACCGGTATGATCATATCCTAGTATGCAATCGCGATGTACCACTCGACTATTGTGAACCTGCTATATCGGTTCGCCGGGGACGCAAGGGCCATTCATTATTTATTCCTCTTCATAAGATCGCGGTTATCGGGCTCTCCACCGTCAGGGAATCTGTCGGTCACTATCCTAACTTTCGGGGGGTATGCTCGAGGACGCCATTATAGGTGAAGCGAGCTAGGATGGGAGTCTCGATGCAGACTTCGCCCGAGTTGTATCGGGAGAAGCCGTCTAGAAGGACGAGCACAGCGTGTCACAAGGTCTAGTGTAATAAATGATGATGCCTATCAAAGTTCTACATCATCGGCAAGGGACCAACAGCTCGTAACGATACAATGCGCGCTTGTAAGTGGACGCTGGGCCTCGACGCCGTTCAGCGGCGTCCGTCTTTTGCCTTGCCCTTGCCCTTACCCTTGTTTCCGTAGGCTGTGAGAATGCAACATGAGCGCCGGTTGATTGAGAAGCCGATACGGGGTGCACTGACCGTCCATTCCGTCTTTACCGGCTCCCTGGTATTTGCTGGTCTCTGCTGTCATCTTGCCCACGTCGTTCTTCTGGCGCTCTGTGATCTTCAGCGTCTGCTCCGCGTTCTGGTCGCACCATCAGTGAATGTGCCGCCGACTGAAACGAGAACTTCGTCTACCTGAGCACGGTGCTGGCCCATCACGCCGTGCGCGCCTGCCACCCATGCATGAACGACGCGGCGAGGGTCCGCGGGACTCATACCAGACACTTTCGTGCTGTGTCCATCATGTCTTTCACGACGACGTCAGAACTGGAGCATCCAAAGGCGTGGAAGCTAGAGTAAGTATGACTTACGCGATAACATGGCGCTGTGCACTCTCGGTCTGCTGGTGCAGCTGTTGCGTGCCGAGCTCGGGGTTGTTCGCCACACGCTCATTGATAGCGTGGGCCGCGGCCACGGTGTTGTCCGTACGTTCGCCGCTCTGACCTTGAACGTGAGTAGGCCCCGTCTTGCCAACGTCTTGGACAATCTCCTTCCCGTCTTTGTAGGTGAACGAGATGTTAGCCATGGTGTGCTGCAGTCTATGTGTCAATGGTAGAATCGTTCGGGATGGCTGGGTGCTCACATGTAGTATCGGGTGTCGAGTGAGGGTATGTCTGCCTGAGACGAGAGGTGTATGCTGCTGCTCTTCAGTTCGATGCATTGGTAGCTTATATACCTCGCTCGTCCAGAAGTGAGATCACAGTACTCGTTCTTGAGGATAAGCTGACGCACTAGTCGGACACAAGGGAAAGTTGTCAAAACAATAGTAGTGCACAGGCTATGCACCGGCTCAGCGGCGCAGCTCCCACCGACTGTAGAGCAGGAACAAGGCGCGAAGCGGTAAGTTGCTTCTCGAGCGGTATGCACCCGATGCACTCATCGCCGGAAACACCGACAGACAGAACTCGCCGCATGGCGGTATGCAGAAGCAGCAACCATGGCCACCGCGTGAGAGTATCTCGCTATTCTCATTTCCTGGGTAACATGGATAGCTTGCGGTAAAGATGAAAGGGAACACATTCTCTTGTGTTCACCTCAGAGCGTCGCTATTGCCGGTGCGTGTCTGGGTGTCACCAAGCCAACACATGGGCCAGTTGTCCGGTTCCACCACACCGATCACGACCGGACTACCAGATCATGACCGACACATTGAGATGGTAACCGGCTCCTTGAATACGCTCCCATTTGCCATGCCGTTTGCCCAGAGCATGCCAATATGTATGCTTTGACTTCGATCGCTACTGCGTAGTCTATGGGAGATCATCACGTTTTGTGCGGAGGAAAATAGCGCTAACCGGGGAGTGCGGCTGTAAGTGATCCCAGGTCTACGAAAGGGACGGAATAACGTGATACGAAGGGGAACGACTGGTTCATCATACAAGTACTCAAAAAGATAGAATCATTGAGTATCATGTGCATTTAACGTGTGATGAATCCAGGCCCCGACTACAATCACTCAGAGCCCGTACACATAGTAAACTTCGGTTGTGTAGATGTGATTGTCGACGTCCTGGTGAAGTTTGAGCAGACACGGCGAGGGGAGGGAGAAGGGCGCGTAGACTACGTAGCGCATTAGGGTTAGGGTTAGCATAGAGGCGCGTGCGGTAGCGACGCGGGCATTGCGCGGGCATTTCATTACGAACAACAACAACGCAACTGCCTCAGGGCCTTCATAGCCTTACTCAACCTGATGCGTGTCTATTGGCCCACATTTGTATTGTCCGAGTACCGCGATCTAGACTCTCACGCGGTGGCCATGGTTGCTGCTTCTGCATACCGCCATGCGGCGAGTTCTGTCTGTCGGTGTTTCCGGCGATGAGTGCATCGGGTGCA